TAACCAGACCCGACCCTGCTTAGCTTCCAAGATCAAACGAGATCGGGTGCATTCAGGGTGGTATGGCAGCACTTTCTGAAGGACACTCTTGCTGAATGCTGACTGTTAGATATTTTGTCATGAAAAGTACTTTCAGGTCAAATAAATTTAGGAAATGTGATATACACTGTGTTTCTTTTTTGATGATCTTAATGTACTTTAAAGGTTCAGAGGATTCTTGCAATAAAACTGCTTAACTAGGTTATATGAAGCATTTTTCAAAGTTAGATGATCACGGAAGCTTTTTTTTCCTTCACTGAACTATTATTAATCTCCCAATAAACTAATGAGCCACAAATACATTTAAAGAAACACTGACATATATGAGAATAAAGGAGTGAAGTTTTAAGCAGGACAGTGTTTATGTCCCAGGACAAGTCCCTTGGCAAATGTCAGCCTTTTCTTTGTTAGCCTGTGCTGTTTTATGAAATTCTATCATTTTCATCTGCCATAGCTTGGGCATGTCTTTCAAAGGCACCTGCACCCAATGAGGCCAAGTTCAAAGGTGGGGCTCTGGATAGATGTCAGCTCATCAGTGGAGTCATCTGGCGACAAGTCCAGGGTTTGACAGGCTACTGGGAGTGATGGAAACAGTGGGAACCAGTTAGACAGATTGGGTCCTTGGGTTGTCCCCTTGAAAGCAGTGTATCTTCTTCCCACCTTTTCTCTCTCTCTTCTTCCCAGTTACCATGAAGTGAGCAGTTCTGCTCCATTGGCCTTCTCCCAATATGCCCTGCCTCGCCTCAAGCTCAGAGTAACACAGCTAACCAAAACTTCGGAAATGGTGAGCAAAAGGCTTTCCTCCTTTAAGTTAGTTTTATCACAGCAATAGAAAGCCAACTTAACACACCATCCCTATGCTCAAGCCAGTAAAACAGGCGCCATAATCTGTGCTAGGGACAGTCTTCCAAAAAGTATGTAATATAAGCATGGCCCAAATAATTCTTCCAGCACTACAGGACATTACAAAAAGCAAACATTTCCTCCCACTCTGTTTACCTCTATCACAACAGCTGTATACTCACCAGATGCCCAATAAGAATTACTGGTTTTATTATTTAGTTCTTGTGGCAAGTCCAAATCACATGCATTTGGGCATCCTGTTCTAGATTTAAAAATCTAGCAGTGTTTTTTGAAGGAATTCATTCTCACACTTTTGCCAGTGCGGCAATCCATCACCCTCCTGAATCAATCCTACTTTCAAATTACTACATCTCAATCTCTGCCTCTCCCTTGTTGGTACCTCTGTCTTCACTCTCTTACTTCAAGACTTTATCCCCAGGTATGTTCTCCATATTGACTCCAAGCATATCTCAATAAAATATAAATTAGGTCCCTCTGGTTCAAAAGTCTTCAATGGTTTCCCACCAAAACAGCACTCAAAATCTTATGAAGACTGTGCAATTTTGCATGACGGCCCTTGCATCTACTTCCCCATACTTCCATCCACCCTCTCTAACAAACTCTTACACTCCAGGCTCCTGCAGCGTCTACAGCCCTGGACCTTTCTGCTTTTGTTCTCCTCAGGGCCTCCCACACAGCTATTCCTCTATCCAGACTGCTTCTCTCTACCCTGGCTTGGATCCTCTGCCTGTTACCTTCAGCCCATGCTTCTTCACTCTGTCAATCGACATCTTTCTTTGCCAAAGCTCCTTTCCTAGAGCACCAAATCTGAGTTGGTAACCCTGGACTTTGTCTTAATACTATTTCTTCCCATACTAGTACCTGCAATCTGTTATTATATGCTTAGTCTATAGTCTGTAAATTCCAAGAAAGGTGGAGAACATGTCTGCTTTCTTCACCACTGCATTGTGGAAAAGCTGCCACAGGGTTAGGTTAGACAGTGAGGCCAACAGTTATGTAGCACATGAACAAAGCCAGCCAATGAGAGTTTCTTACAGTTCTATCTCCTGCCTTCTTTTTACAAGCAACCGTGGTTCCCTGAAGACTGTCCTCTTTTTGCATACTTATCACTCAAAAGTCATAATTGTTCATCTCTACTAGGACAGAACTTTGAGGGTCATCTCATGCCTTCCCACTAAAGCTCCTCTTACCATTACCACTTATTCTTTTCCTGGGAACTCACTGCACTAATTTCTTGTTGCTCATTCGGGGCCTAATCTTGCATTGCCTCACAGTAACTTACTTGCTGTGGTTAATTAATACTGTATATGATTGTAATTCACCTCAGCAACGATGCCACAAGTGTGTTACATTGAGGACCTCATGCTTCCTATCCAAGAGTGTGTGGCATGGCGTGAAAGAACATGTCTCCCCCTACCCTGCTTAGTGCGCCCATGAGAAGACCTTCACTGGAGTTTGATCCATTTCTTTTTACTGTTTTCCTCCTCAAGGGCTCTGAATGTCACCACCATGCTGGGAGGAAGAGTAGGGTAGAGATGCATTCTGATATCAGAGAAAGGCAGTTGGGCAAGTTAGGGACTTAAAAATGCCAAAATGCCACATTAAGGAGGTAAAGACCACATGTCAAGGGACAAAGTGGAGGCCAATACTGGTTAGGCAACTCCTAAAAGATGAAAAGGGGTGACCTGAGCAAGATTTTGAATACAGAGATTTCTAAAACTAAATGAAGCAAAGAAGACTGACTACCTCCTGAAGAAAATTTCAGTCACTGACCTATTTCCTCATTGTTCACTTGTGAATGGGCTAAATCCAACATTAATTGTGGAAGTGTCTTTGGTATCCAAGTAGTTATTCTTTACTCTTGATTGCCAATTCCGAGCCTGCCCACATTTATTTAAGAAATATGTAAAATACTGGATGCTACTACTTAGTGACTTCTTACTTTTTGTCTGCCAAGATATGAGGGCCATGAAGGTCCTGCAGCCCCACTGAAGTGCACAACTGACCTTCCTCAAGCTGCTCTTGAAAAACAGAGTACGGTAGTAAGGTTAAGCCCGTCACAATAGCATCTTTGTAGGCATGGAACTATTCAAGGTCAGCAGACGGTTTTTTTAAGGTATTATCTCTAGATATAATTTTTTATCGCTATTATCTCTAGATATAATTCAACCACCTTTAAGATAAATAGAATAGAACATACTACCCGTTGTCTTTATTTGTCAATGTGGAGAGTGAGCTAAAAAGAACATTAAAGATGTGTCCGTGGGCATCTGACTCAGCAGCTGACATCCAGCTTTGGGGTGGGGAACACACTCTAAAGGTGGAAAGGCTGAGGCAACACTGTTACTGGACAAATTCTATAATGGGTTTGTCAGGGTGGGGTCAGGACAGAACTTGCAGAGCCTAGTGTAAACTGAAACCTCAGTCTTCTAAAAAATTATTAGGACAATAAACAGTGACAGCAGAATATTAGACCAAATGCCCTTCTAAGTGTAGGGCCAGGTTTGCATTACACAGATTTGCATTTCACAAGCTGGTTCTGCCTGGGATCTCTGAGTCTCAAAGCCCAAGGTGTAGACATCTGGAGGCCTCCACCTTTTTAAAGTGAGAATTCGGGCCAGTATGTATGTGCTTATTTTTCACATTAAGTAGCTTTTAGCAGAAACATAAAGTGGTCTGTTCCACAAAATAACGCGTTAAGAATGCTTCTTTAAGAGTCACAGATGTTCCCACAGTGCCCAGGTGTCAGGGTCAGATCAGGCATGTAACTCTCCGGGAGACTGCTGCTGGCCCAGTGGGGTAACACACAATCAAAAGACTCTCAGGGCCAGCCAGATACACCAGAAAGACACGTGCTCAAGAATGGAAACTCAGTAGAAAAGAAGTCAAAGGACGAGATGCTCAAGACTAGTAGTCTCCGTAAATCGCTAAGGAAAACCCAGAGCAGAGCTGAGCAACTCACCTTACTTTCTGCCTCACCTTCCTCCTAGGCAGGTGAAAAGCTTCCTGCAAGCTATCACTAATTTCCCCAGGGTCAGTAAGGATTGGCAGCTTATGGTGATTCACATCTATTTGATTGATAATTACATGCCATCGTTTAAAACTAGAGGCGGGAATCTGTTCATGAAACAGGTGCATAAGATACCTTTTGAAATAGGCGCAGAGCCTGCAAGGACCTGCATTCTAGGAAACACAACGGATGAACCGGTCCAGCACCTAGGCCTTGGCCAGGAAATGGCTTGGTTTTCTCTAGACCCCAACCACCCACCCCACAGTCAACCCTAAAGGTGAAGCTGCTCAAATGCCTGTCCAGCAGTTTAGGTGGTGGCTGCCTTATATTTTATTAGTACTCTACCTTACTTCTAGACCAAGTAATCAGTCAGATCTCCAGCTCACATAAATGGTGATGTAGCACCACATCATAGGCGAATTTTTCCAATTTCTATGGCACAGAGCATCAAGCTCCACTGGACACTACCTCCATTAAGCAGAAAAGGCCTCTTAGCTCCCCCCACTCTGTCGCTGCTCCTACCCAGTGGGGCGCCCTGCAGGAGTGCACCAGTCTCGCAGATCCCAGGATCACCTTGGGGTTCATTATAGGTAACTGATCCACGGAGGAAAGACTGTGCTTAACCCCGCGGCCGGGGAAGGTCACAAAGTCCGGAGGCCGCGGGCGGATGCACTCTGTGGTCTCTAGACCAAGGCAGCGCAGAGCTGCTCCTCGCTGCAGCTAACCCGCAGGAAGCCAGACTCGCGGGTCGGGGAGGGGGAACAGGCACCTTCCTGCAAGCCACCTGCTCTCCTCCCCACCGTGCCCAGGTGGCAGAAGACGGCGAGAACTCCCAACCCTGGCAGACCCCGCCCGGCTCTGCAGCGCGCCCGGACCGTCGCGGACGCGAGAGGAGCCTCGCTCCGCCTCCCGCGGCCCCTGCTCCGCTCTCCAGGAACAGCCCGGGGGCGCAGGAGGCCGCGCCCCGGGCCCGGGCGAGGTCTCCAGGCGAGGTCCCCAGGCGAGTCCCCCGGTCTCCCGCCGCAGCCCCGCCCTCCCGCGGGGCCGCCCCGCCCGGCTCCCGTGGGGCGCGTGGAGCGGCCGGTACCTGCTCCTGCGGCGCCGGTGTCGCTGCGCCGGCTCTCGATCCCGCTCCAGGTCGACGAGGGCTCAGCCCGCGACGCTGCCGCTCGGCTCGGCGACGCTATATATCCGGCGGGCGCCGGGGCGTGGGGCGGGAGGAAGCCGCCCTCCCTCCGACCTGCCCGGCCTGGGGCGCGGGGCGCGGGGCGCGCACGCCGCAGCCTCCATGCGGCGCCGGCTGCCCGCTTCCTCCCGCTTCGCCCGCTTTAATTGGCGGGTGAGGGGAAGTTCTCCGGAAAGGCGCCCCTCTCCGGCCTAGAGAAGAACCGGAGAGCCCGCGCACGGAAAGGGGACGGCTGAGGAAGGCTGGGGAGGCCGGGCGACTGGAGGGCGAGCGCACGGCGAGAGGATGCTCGGGGCACACGCGGGGCAGGGGCAGAGTGGTGGGGCGGGCCCGAGCCTCCGTTTACTTGTCCCCGAGCCTGGGGAGCGGAAAGCAGGCGCTGAGAGTGTTTGGGGAACCTGCGTGAGTCGGAGACCCGGGAGGTTCATGATTCGGGGTGCGAGGACAGCTGCCGGCTAGCTGCGCCCTACAGCCCTTATCTGGTGTAAGAAAAGGTGCTCCATTTCTCTACCAGGTAGCTCTTTGGGAATTCGGTCATTGTTAAATTTTAAGCTGAACTGGAGCTGTAGAGGGAGGGGCCGTGCCCAGCCGGCAGGAGTGGAGCCCGGTGCCGGGCAGCGCTTTGCAAAGGGCCGAGGCTCATCCTGGTTACCAGACAATGGGAGAGGTAAATCTTCAAACACGCGGTGTGAAGAAAAGCGAAACTGGGATGTTACTGCCTGTTCAGTCAAGCACGTATTGAAATTAAAAGAAACATTTGATTCATGAAAGTTAAAATCAATGAAATGAGCAACTTCATACTTTGGAAAAACACCACCAATCTTGTTCCCAGTGCTACTGGGTTTCCTTTCATTGAACACCTAAACCCAGTGTGGCCTAAAGATGCTGTGACTAAGACTGTCTGAGAGCAAGGAAAGAAAGAAATGGGTAAGATCCCACACACACACCCTTTGTTACCTTTGTATCCCTTAAGAATAAGTCTGAAGGTGTTCCCAAAACCTGTGACAGTACCGGAGTGGCACTGGTGAGCTGAGTGAGCCCCAGTGAGAGGCCTATATAAAGCTGTCACACTGCAGGTGGGAAGTAAATGTTACAATTCCTCAGAAGCAATTTAGTAACATTTCCTGTTCATTGTTCTAGATCTTTTGATGAAAATTGCCATTTTTTACAATGTACTCAAAGGAAATGCACAAAATGAGAAATGCCGCGTGGGCAGTTATATATGTTATGTATAAAGAGGACAATTAGAAATGCTTTCAGTGGATCATTTGTGGATAAAATGCCTTATTACAAAATGCAAGCCATAATTTATTATCACCATTTAAAATGATATTCACATATGTGCACTGTATTATTTTGCTAGAACTGCCTCAACAAAGTACTGTACAGAAACTCGGGGACTTAAACAAAAGAAATATATTGTCTCACAGTTTTGGTGACTGGAAATCTAAGATCAAAGTGCCTGTGAGGCCAGTTCCTCAGGAAGGCTGAGAGGAGAATTTGTTTCCTGATTCTTGTTACTCCTGGGGGCTTCCTAGCAATCTTTGATGCTCCTTGGTTTATAGGAGAAACCCAGGCACTGCCTCTGTCCTCAGATGCATTCGTGCTGTGCTCTTGTCTGTTTCTAGTTGTCTCCTTTTTATGAAGATGCCAATCACATTAAAACAACCAAGTGACCTCGTTTTAATTTTGCTAATTATATCTGCAACAACTCTTTCCAGAAAAAAAAGTCATGTTCTGGGGCACTGATGATAAGATTTTAATATGCAGAAGTCTGAGGAGGAGGAGGAAGCATTAATAATCCCAAATAGATAACAACAGGGATAATAGATCAAACCCTGAAAGGTACACCTTGGTGCTAGCCCCTGGAACTTATGAGTATGACTTTCTGAAAAAAAAATCTCACTTAAATGCTGAAGTTAAAGATCTTGGGATGAGCTCGTCCAGAATTACACAGCTAGACCCTAAAGCTGGTGGCAGATACACTCACAGGAGAAAGAAAAAGATCAGTGACACTCAAGCATTGGAGAAGGCCATTGATGACATGTGGAACCCCAGAACAGGAAGCAGTCAGTGGCACCAGCCACCAGGAGCTAAGAGCTATAAAAGTTTTTCCCCTACGGTCTGTGAATGCAGCATGGCCTCAGTTTCAGACTTCTAATCTCCAAATTGAGAAGATAAATTTCTGTCATGGAAGCCATTCACTTTGGGATAATCTGTTATGGTAGTTGTAGGAAATCTGTACAGGTAATTTGGGGTAAAATTCCATGTATTTGCTGCTGCTTTTGCAGAGAGATATGTTGTTCAGGACTATTTTTAGTGGTCATTTTAATAGCATCCCTAAAAATTTTAAGCTGTTTTTGAATGGATGAGTAGAGACATGCTAACAATTTTATAATCTTGCAAATCACATTCTGTAGCAGGCCCAGATGCAATGCCAGTCTTGGGCATGAGTTCTCTTCTGGATCCTCACACACATTGTATGTACAAATCATTTAAAATTCAGTGGAACACTGATTTGATTGGAGGGCAGTCTCCAATGTTCTCAAGCCCCAGTGTTCTTATTAATATGCAGACTACCTGCTCAAAGTATGTCAGACCTAAAGTAATAGGTCATCTTGATGACACTCTCAAGTTGGAAGCCGTGAATAAAACCTGTGGTTCTAAAGGATGCTATCTGTCCTTAGTGGCATTTATTATTTATGTACTATTAACTGATAGAGCTTTGATTTTTATGTACAGGAGAATTATTTTTTAAAATATAGTATTTTATAACTAGGAAGCTGGGGATTTGTGCCTGCATATCAGTTTATGGTTGGAGGGATAGTTGGGCTTTATTTCTTGTCCAAGGTCATTATGGATTCCATCTAAAATATCCCTCAAAATCCCATATATTCAGAGATGGGGCTTTTGTAAGGTTATTGATCAGAAGGGTCTAACTTCATTTGGAAGATAATCCAAACTTCAGTAGTGGGATAATCCATCGATAAGATCGCAATTCATGGCATTGTTGAGTGGTAACGGAAACTTGAGAAGTGGGAGCTGATGAAAGGAGTGGATCATGCTGTTGTGACTCTGGAACTGTGTGTGCTCCTCAGCCCTTTTCCCTTCCTGTCTGGCTCTTTCAGCCTTTCTGATTCCTACTGACATGAGGAAAATAGTTTTCCTTTGCAACACCCTTCTATCAAGACATACGCTTCACTTGAGGCCCAGAATCAAAGGAGCCAGTCAACGTGGACTGAAACCTTGGAAATCACCAGCTAAAATAAACCTTTCTCTTCTCAGCTCTTCACATCAGATGTCTGGTCACAGAGAGGAAAAGTAGACTGACATGGAAGTTACTGGGTTCATTCTCTGTGGCTGCATAATTAACTATCACGAACTTGGTATTTTTAAAAAGCAATACTTTTTTGTTAGCTTTGTCAGACATCCAGGCATAATGCAACTGGGTTCTTTGTTCCCAAGGCAAAAATCACAGTGGTTCTCTCAGGCTATGATCACTTCTGTGACCCAGGCCCCTTTCTCTAGCTTCTCATTAATCACGAGCAGCATTTAGGTTCTTGGAGTTATCATGCTGATGTCCTTATTCCATGCTGTTGAGAGGAATTTCTCTCAGCTTTGTGGCTAAATGTTATCCGATCCCTTTAAAACTAGCGCAAGAAATTATTTCCTCAAATCTTTCACCCTTTATAAGGGCTGATACCCAATTAAGTGATGTAATCTCCCTTCCAATTATCTCAAAATCAACTGATTTGGAGCCTTTGCTTTCTTCATATAGCATATAATCACACAGTGAAGTCCATCCTATTCACAGCTCCACCCTCACTCAGAAAGAAAAATTCTGCAGGGCTTATAAATTATACAGTAGTAACTCCAGGCTTAGAATTCTTTCCACCAGTCACTCAGTTAAATGATGATTACTGACAACATGTAGCTGACCTGATTGCTGACAACATGTTGTAGAGTATCATTCTTTGCTTGAGAAATTTCTTTTGCACAAGGAAAATTTTTCTATCTAACCATGATATGAAGCTTGATATGGATTTTTTTTATATAACTTTTTGTCTTATTCTATAGGTTTATAGATCTTTGAAAATTACAGTTTATTTATTGACAATTGGAAAACTATAATAGGGAAGGCCGCCCAAGTTTCCTAATGACTGTAGGTGTGGTGTACTCTGAGGTCATGATTTCTTAAATCTTGGGTCATAAGCATCAAGTTTTTGGAAAACGTTAGTGAAAATGTTCAGAGGCTCCATATTGATAACAGAATGGTTACAGGTTAAAGCTCTATCCCCTGTATTGAATGTTATGCACACATTATGAATAGTTATGTCAGTTGAATTTGCACTGATTTCTAAAAAGTTGAATTTCCCACAAACCAAAAGTAGCAGGTTGAAAAAAACATGCATTGTATGAGCTTATTCCTACTAAACCATTGTAAGATAACTTTGAGTATGTATACATGTATGTGGACATATTCTAGGTTTATGAAAGCATGGAGAAACACATGGAAGGATAGACCCTGGGCTTATTAACATGCTACTTGGCTTAGTGGAAGAAGGGAACTAATATGTAAGAGGGAAGTGGAAAGGAGGAATACCAAGCAAAGCTGGAGAAAAAAAAAAAAGACAAGAACACAAATCAAGATAACATAAGATCATACTTATTATGTATGCAAAATATTTTTTAAATTTTTAATTAGAAAAAGATGCTGAGTTCCCATTGTATCCTAACAACAACATATAGAAGAACAAACTGAAAAATCAGGTCTATGTGGCTATTGGCTACATAAATTTGTGGCTATTGGCCACAAACTTGGAGAGACAGATAGGCAATTTTAATCAAAGCAGAAATCTGTGTGGGAAGCAGGGTCAACACAGAAAAACCAGAGCTAAGATTGATGTTGCTGGCGGCTCAAGGCTGACTCACTTCTGATAGGTAGAAGTTCCAGGGGCACCACTTCTAGGGGCCCCTCAACAGTTGGTGAGTTCTGCCTCTAAGAAGTCTAAGATCCTCATAATGCATATTAAA